ATAAGAAACTTTTGTTTTACAGCAAGAGGAAAGGAAAAGAGTAATGCAATTGGCACAGCAGCAGCAACAGCAGCAGCAAGTACAGTCACAGCAACAACAACAACAGCAGCAGCAACGCATGATACAATCACAACAACAAAACCAACAACGACCCCAGACGTCCCAGTACGACTATGAGGACGACTTCGAGGACCTGGAAGCAGAAGAACTGGCTCCAGGGGTGGTAAACAAGAGCTCACCCAGCGGAGCTAAGAGCTCCAACAACAACAACAACAACAACACTCTCCAGATTGCTTCTACCATCGTAGGGTGAGAACAACTTCTCCCATAGACGCCTTTATCCTCTTGTGTCTGTCTAACATGGACCAACAGGACCTGCTGTGTGGACCAGCAGGACCTGCCTAGCATGGACCAACAGGACCTGCTGTGTGGACCAGCAGGACCTGCCTAGCATGGACCAACAGGACCTGCTGTGTGGACCAGCAGGACTTGCCTAGCATGGACCAACAGAACCTACTGTATGGACCAGCAGGACTTGCCTAGTATGGACCAACAGGACCTTCTGTGTGGACCAGCAGGACCTGCCTAGCATGGACCAACAGGACCTGCTATGTGGACCAGCAGGACTTGCCTAGCATGGACCAACAGGACCTGCTGTGTGGACCAGCAGGACCTGCCTAGCATGGACCAATAGGACCTGCTGTGTGGACCAGCAGGACCTGCCTAGCATGGACCAACAGGACCTGCTGTATGGACCAGCATGACTTGCCTAGCATGGACCAACAGGACCTACTGTGTGGACCAGCAAGACTTGCCTAGCATGGACCAACATGACCTACTGTGTGGCCCAGCAGGACCTACTGTGTGGACCAGCAGGACCTACTGTGTGGACCAGCAGGACCTACTGTGTGGACCAGCAGGACCTACTGTGTGGACCAGCAGGACTTGCCTAGCATGGACCAACAGGACCTGCTGTGTGGACCAGCAGGACCTGCCTAGCATGGACCAACAGGATCTGCTATGTGGACCAGCAGGACCTGCCTAGCATGGACCAACAGGACCTGCTGTGTGGACCAGCAGGACTTGCCTAGCATGGACCAACAGAACCTACTGTGTGGACCAGCAGGACTTGCCTAGCATGGACCAACAGAACCTACTGTGTGGACCAGCAGGACTTGCCTAGAATGGACCAACAGGACCTGCTGTGTGGACCAGCAGGACTTGCCTAGCATGGACCAACAGGACCTGGTGTGTGGACCAGCAGGACCTGCCTAGCATGGACCAACAGGACCTACTGTGTGGACCAGCAGGACTTGCCTAGCATGGACCTACAGGACCTAGAATGTGGACCAGCAGGACTTGCCCAGCATGGACCAACAGGACCTGCTATGTGGACCAGCAGGACCTGCCTAGCATGGACCAACAGGACCTACTATGTGGACCAGCAAGACTTGTCTAGCATGGACCAACAGGACCTGCTATGTGGACCAGCAGGACCTACCTAGCATGGACCAACAGGACCTAATGTGTGGACCAGCAGGACCTGCCTAGCATGGACCAACAGGACCTACTGTGTGGACCAGCAGGACCTGCCTAGCATGGACCAACAGGACCTACTGTGTGCACCAGCAGGACCTGCCTAGCATGGACCAACAGGACCTACTGTGTGGACCAGCAGGACCTGCCTAGCATGGACCAACAGGACCTAATGTGTGGACCAGCAGGACCTGCCTAGCATGGACCAACAGGCCCTACTGTGTGCACCAGCAGGACCTGCCTAGCATGGACCAACAGGACCTAATGTGTGGACCAGCAGGACCTGCCTAGCATGGACCAACAGGACCTACTGTGTGCTCCAGCAGGACCTGCCTAGCATGGACCAACAGGACCTATTGTGTGCACCAGCAGGACCTGCCTAGCATGGACCAACAGGACCTGCTGTGTGGAGCAGCAGGACCTGCCTAGCATGGACCAACAGGACCTGCTGTGTGGACCAGCAGGACCTGCCTAGCATGGACCAACAGGACCTGCTGTGTGGAGCAGCAGGACCTGCCTAGCATGGACCAACAGGACCTGCTGTGTGGACCAGCAGGACCTGCCTAGCATGGACCAACAGGACCTGCTGTGTGGAGCAGCAGGACCTGCCTAGCATGGACCAACAGGACCTGCTGTGTGGAGCAGCAGGACCTGCCTAGCATGGACCAACAGGACCTGCTGTGTGAACCAGCAGGACCTGCCTAGCATGGACCAACAGGACCTGTTGTGTGAACCAGCAGGACCTGCCTAGCATAGACCAACAGGACCTGCTGTGTGAACCAGCAGGACCTGCCTGGCATGGACCAACAGGACCTGCTGTGTGAACCAGCAGGACCTGCCTAGCATGGACCAACAGGACCTACTGTGTGGACCAACAGGACCTACTGTGTGGACCAGCAGGACCTGCCTAGCATGGACCAACAGGACCTGCTGTGTGTACCAGCAGGACCTGCCTAGCATGGACCAGCAGGACCTACTGTGTGGACCAGCAGGACCTGCCTAGCATGGACCAGCAGGACCTGCCTAGCATGGACCAACAGGACCTGACTTTTAATATCCCACTGAAGTTGTTTGATGGTTTTTCTCTAAAACAGTTTTTTTAACATAGTGCATAAAAAATTACTATGTACTCTCTGTCTTTCTTCCCGGAGCCTAAAATTTTAACTATTAATGTCCAGTCCCGTAATAATGAGATGAAAAAAATAGGTTCCCTCTAGTAATGAAAAAAAATTTGGGGGAAGAATTTAAGGCCTAATTAAAAAATGTATTTTGAGTGATATTAGAATTTAATATAAAGTTTTGTGGTGACAGAACCAACGATGTGATGAACGCCCTGCAGAAGGAAGCTTTCAAGAGGTTCGTACTTTTATCTTTTTCCTTCACAATGACGTAATAATTTATGATGTCTTTAATATGACTTCAAAAAGAGAATTTTTTTTTATTATTATGATGGAAGTTCCTTGATGAGATATATACAGTGTGTAGTGCGTCTTATATATATATATATATATATATATATATATATATATATATATTATATATATATATATATATATATATATATATATATATATATATATATATGATAGAGTGGATAGAGGAGCAATGTGGCAGATGTTGCAAGTATATGGAATAGGTGGTAAGTTACTAAATGCTGTAAAGAGTTTTTATGAGGATAGTGAGGCTCAGGTTAGGGTGTGTAGAAGAGAGGGAGAATACTTCCCGGTAAAAGTAGGTCTTAGACAGGGATGTGTAATGTCACCATGGTTGTTTAATATATTTATAGATGGGGTTGTAAAAGAAGTAAATGCTAGGGTGTTCGGGAGAGGGGTGGGATTAAGTTATGGGGAATTAAATACAAACTGGGAGTTGACACAGTTACTTTTTGCTGATGATACTGTGCTTATGGGAGATTCTAAAGAAAAATTGCAAAGGTTAGTGGATGAGTTTGGGAATGTGTGTAAACGTAGAAAGTTGAAAGTGAACATAGAAAAGAGTAAGGTGATGAGGGTATCAAATGATTTAGATAAAGAAAAATTGGATATCAAATTGGGGAGGAGGAGTATGGAAGAAGTGAATGTTTTCAGATACTTGGGAGTTGAAGTGACGGCGGATGGATTTATGAAGGATGAGGTTAATCATAGAATTGATGAGGGAAAAAATATGAGTGGTGCATTGAGGTATATGTGGAGACAAAAAACGTTATCTATGGAGGCAAAGAAGTGAATGTATGAAAGTATAGTAGTACCAACACTCTTATATGGATGTGAAGCTTGGGTGGTAAATGCTGCAGCGAGGAGACGGTTGGAGGCAGTGGAGATGTCTTGTCTAAGGGCAATGTGTGGTGTAAATATTATGCAGAAAATTCGGAGTTTGGAAATTAGGAGAAGGTGTGGAGTTAATAAAAGTATTAGTCAGAGGGCAGAAGAGGGTTTGTTGAGGTGGTTTGGTCATTTAGAGAGAATGGATCAAAGTAGAATGACATGGAAAGCATATAAATCTATAGAGGAAGGAAGGCGAGGTAGGGGTCGCCCTCGAAAGGGTTGGAGAGAAGGGGTAAAGGAGGTTTTGTGGGCGAGGGGCTTGGACTTCCAGCAAGCGTGCGTGAGCGTGTTAGATAGGAGTGAATGGAGACGAATGATACTTAGGACCTGACGATCTGTTGGAGTGTGAGCAGGGTAATATTTAGTGAAGGGATTCAGGGAAACCGGTTATTTTCATATAGTCGGACTTGAGTCCTGGAAATGGGAAGTACAATGCCTGCACTTTAATGGAAGGGTTTGGGATATTGGCAGTTTGGAGGGATATGTTGTGTATTTTTATACGTATATGCGTCTAAACTGTTGTGCTCTGAGCACCTCTGCAAAAACAGTGATTATGTGTGAGTGTGGTGAAAGTGTTGAAGGATGATGAAAGTATTTTCTTTTTGGGGATTTTCTTTCTTTTTTGGGTCACCCTGCCTCGGTGGGAGACGGCCGACTCGTTAATATATATATATATATATATATATATATATATATATATATATATATATATATATTATATATATATATATATATATATATATATATATATATATATATATATATATAATTGTACCCACGGAACAAGTGGTATTGATCAATAACAACACTGCACTAACAGGGAGTAAAATTTAATTAGCTCAGAGGCGTCCACACCACCTTATGTCCTTCGATGGTGGGTACAATATCTAGTTTGGCTGGATGCATGACTGCTAAGGATTGTGTGGTCTAGTGGTCTAAAGCTTCATGCGTTTTCTCTCACCATGAGGCGGCCCAAAACAGCATGGGTTCGACTACTTGGCTAGTGCAGTGATATATATATATATATATATATATATATATATATATATATAATATATAATATATATAATATATAATATATATAATATATAATATTAGTTTATAATAATGATCCTTCACTAGTTGCGGCTGTACGTTAAAGCTCATATTTTACTCACATTTGACTATAAGATCTCAGGGCTATCTTCTAGTCTCCTGGAATTAAATATTCTTATTGAAGATGTAGGTGATGTCTTCTAGTCATTTAGGAATATAAACGTAAATATATATTTTATAATGTTTAGCTCTTTATATTTAGTAAACGAGAACTATGATAGGAACTTTTCTGACAGAGCTAATCTTTGAACACTGAGGGAGCTCTGTTTTGACAGGTAGAGAAATTATATTTTTGTGCTTCGTGTCTTCTGTAGAGTACTGCTTGAAGTTTCTCTGAGTAGTTTAAATGTTGTGCATAGTTCCGCCAATCTTCAGTGTCCGCCATCCTTCTGTGTACGCTGCATCCTTCATGTGTTCCCCATCCTTCATGTGTCCGCCATCCTTCATGTGTCCGCCATCCTTCATGTGTCCGCCATCCTTCATGTGTCCGCCATCCTTCATGTGTCCGCCATCCTTCATGTGTCCGCCATCCTTCATGTGTCCGCCATCCTTCATGTGTCCGCCATCCTTCATATGTCCGCCATCCTTCATGTGTCCGCCATCCTTCATGTGTCTGCCATCCTTCATGTGTCCGCCATCCTTCATGTGTCCGCCATCCTTCATGTGTCCACCATCCTTCATGTGTCCGCCATCCTTCATGTGTCCGCCATCCTTCATGTGTCCGCCATCCTTCATGTGTCCGCCATCCTTCATGTGTCCGCCATCCTTCATGTGTCCGCCATCCTTCATGTGTCCGCCATCCTTCATGTGTCCGCCATCCTTCAATGTGTCCGCCATCCTTCATGTGTCCACCATCCTTCATGTGTCCGCCATCCTTCATGTGTCCGCCATCCTTCATGTGTCCGCCATCCTTCATGTGTCCGCCATCCTTCATGTGTCCGCCATCCTTCATGTGTCCGCCATCCTTCATGTGTCCGCCATCCTTCATGTGTCCGCCATCCTTCATGTGTCCGACATCCTTCATGTGTCCGCCATCCTTCATGTGTCCGCCATCCTTCATGTGTCCGCCATCCTTCATGTGTCCACCATCCTTCATGTGTCCGCCATCCTTCATGTGTCCACCATCCTTCATGTGTCCGCCATCCTTCATGTGTCCACCATCCTTCATGTGTCCGCCATCCTTCATGTGTCCGCCATCCTTCATGTGTCCGCCATCCTTCATGTGTCCGCCATCCTTCATGTGTCCGCCATCCTTCATGTGTCCACCATCCTTCTTTCATGTGTCCGTCATCCTTCATGTGTCCACCATCCTTCATGTGTCCGCCATCCTTCATGTGTCCACCATCCTTCTTTCATGTGTCCGTCATCCTTCATGTGTCCACCACCCTTCTTTCATGTGTCCACCATCCTTCTTTCATGTGTCCGCCATCCTTCATGTGTCCACCATCCTTCTTTCATGTGTCCGCCATCCTTCATGTGTCCACCATCCTTCTTTCATGTGTCCGCCATCCTTCATGTGTCCACCATCCTTCTTTCATGTGTCCGCCATTCTTCATGTGTCCACCATCTTTCATGTGTCCACCATCCTTCATGTGTCCGCCATCCTTCATGTGTCCACCATCCTTCTTTCACGTGTCCGTCATCCTTCATGTGTCCACCATCCTTCATGTGTCCACCATCCTTCTCTCATGTGTCCACCATCCTTCTTTCATGTGTCCGCCATCCTTCATGTGTCCACCATCCTTCTTTCATGTGTCCGCCATCCTTCATGTGTCCACCATCCTTCTTTCATGTGTCCGCCATCCTTCATGTGTCCACCATCCTTCATGTGTCCACCATCCTTCTTTCATGTGTCCACCCATCCTTCTTGTGTCCACCATCCTTCATGTGTCCACCATCCTTCTTTCATGTGTCGACCATCCTTCATGTGTCCACCATCCTTCTTTCATGTGTCCACCATCCTTCATGTGTCCACCATCCTTCCTTCATGTATCCACCCATCCTTCCTTCATGTGTCCACCCATCCTTCCTTCTTGAGTCAACTCATGCTTCCTTCTTGTGTCTATCCACCCTTTATGTGTCCACCCATCCCTCTTGTGTACACCCATCCCTCTTGTGCCCACCCACCATTCCTACTTATTCTTACCTTCGTCCCAGACTGAAGGAGTTGGAACAGAAGATGGTGGGCGGAGAGAAGAGACAAGATAACGAACTAAAGGCTAAGAGAACCAAGAGAAAGAAATACATGGAGAAGAGGATGAAAATCCTGAGTCAGGCGCTGAAGAACGTCGACAACGAGGAAGGTGTTATGCTGAAGGTCTACGGCGACATTAACGAAGAACTCAAAGCCAAGACCGAACTGGCCAAGCAACAGAAGGCCAAGGTAAGGGTTAGGATTGGCCTGAGGTCTACGCACAATTAGAATTAGGGGGGATATGACTGTGGTGTATAAATGGAAAACAGGAATTAATAAAGGGGATTTAAATAGCGTGCTAAAAATATCTAACACAGACAGGACTCGTAGCAATAGTTTTAAATTGGAAAAATTCAGATTCAGGAAGGATATAGGAAAGCACTGGTTTGGTAATAGAGTCGTGGATGAGTGGAACAAACTTCCAAGTACCGTCAAAGAAGCTAAGACGTTGTTTAGTTTTAAAAATAGGTTGGGTAAATACATGAGTGGGTGTGGGTGGGTGTGAGTTGGAACTGACTAGGTTGTGCTACTAGGTCGGATGCTCTGCCCCTCCCTTAAGTAACGTGTCTGACCTGACTAGGTCAAGGTTTAAGCCAGTGGGAGTATTGGACCTTCCTCGCATAGGCCAGTAGGCCTGTCGCAGTGTTTTTTCTTTTTTATGTTCTTACATGGTAAAAAATCAGGTTCTTATACGAATGCACTGAACTGTCTGAAATATAATGCTGCACATAGGAATTAAGGCCATTTTTTCCTGCATTTTCTGATGAGTGAACCAGAGTTTGCGTCAGAATCCTGTGGGATGATAACAATGGCCGTCTTGAAATTACAGATGCCTCCCCTTTAAATGAGTCCCTATTAATGGGTCTCTTTCTAGAGATGAGGAAATTCCTAATACAATTACCAGCTCTATCTATATATTTGGTACATACAGTAATTTATACCATATCCAGCGTCTGCCTCTCTTCGTATAACTTACAGATGTCTTCCACTAAATGTGTACCTTTAAATGGACCCGTTTTCTCGAGTGCAGGAACTCTTAAGAAAATTGCCAGTGATGTCTGTATCACTGGCAATTTAATTTTTATGCATGTAATGTTATTTATATCATAGCATAGTCTGACCGAATTTTTGTTAATTGCCATATAATGTTTGTTAGGCTACTATTACAATATTAGTGCTTGTGGACTGGCTGTTTTTCTAATGCTATAAAATTCAGCCTTTCTGACTAAGGGTATTGGTATGCCTGGGGGCACTTCCTGCCTGCCAGGGGGCACTTCCTGCCTGCCAGGGGGCACTTCCTGCCTTCCTGCTGCCTTCCTCTCTCTCCCTCACTCCAGCAAGGACGTTCCCTGTGACCGTATGTGCTTCGACCTCCTTGTTGGTACAAAGATGACATGTACAGTATATAAGGTTTGAAGAATACATTTCAAGTGCATATTGCATCAAATTCATCCCACTGATACAGCTAACAAGATAAACGACTTCTTCTCAAACATAGGAGCTAATCTCGCCAGTAAAATCCCACGTACCAATGCCCGTGCCGGGGACTACCTAGATGGGAATTTCCCAAATTCCTTCTATCTTGTACCAACAGAGCCCACGGAAGTCACCGCCATCATAAATTCACTTAAAAATAACTCGGGGAATCTGTCTCACGTCCCACCATTATTGTACAAGCGAGCGGCCCATGTCCTTTCACATGCTATTACATTACTTTTTAACAAGTCACTAGAAACTAGCACTTTCCCGACACTACTCAAGACAGCAAGGGTTACACCAATACATAAAGGTGGTGACCCTACAGACGTAAACAACTACAGGCCAATATCAAACTTACCGTTGCTATCCAAAATCTTCGAGAAACTCGTTCACAGGAGACTATATTCATTTATAACGTCACAAAACATACTCAACCTCTGCCAATTTGGATTCAGGAAAAATAAAAGCACTAATGATGCAATTATAAAAATGCTAGACCTGCTTTACACAGCATTGGAAAATAAGGAATATCCGCTAGGAATTTTTATTGACCTAAGAAAAGCGTTTGACACAGTAGACCACGGCATCCTACTCCACGAACTTGACCATTATGGTATAAGAGGCCATGCGCTTGCATATTTTAAATCCTGCCTTTCTAATAGGTATCAATATGTCACCATTAAAGACACAGCCTCATCAATACGGCCACTTGATACTGGAGTTCCGCAGGGAAGTGTCCTTGGTCCCCTGCTCTTCCTCATATACATCAATGATCTTCCAAACATATCCCAACACCTGAAACCCATTCTCTTTGCTGACGACACGACTTATGTCATCTCCCACCCCAATCTTGCCACCCTCAACACCATTGTTAACGAGGAGCTGCTCAAAATATCGACTTGGATGACAGCCAATAAACTTACGCTTAACACTGACAAAGCCTACTATATTATGTTTGGTAGCAGAGCAGGTGTTGCGCAACTTAACATTAAGATCGACAACATTCTAATTGCCAGTCATAATGAGGGCAAATTCCTAGGCCTATACCTCGACAACAACCTAAATTTCAGCACCCATATCCAACACATGACAAAAAAAGTATCCAAAACGGTGGGGATCCTCTCCAAGATACGATACTACGTACCGCAAACTGCCCTTCTCACACTATACCATTCACTTATATATCCATACCTCACCTATGCTATTTGTGCTTGGGGTTCAACTGCAGCAACACACCTAAAGCCAATAATAACCCAACAAAAAGCCGCAGTAAGAATAATCACTAAATCCCATCCCTGGCAACACCCTTCCCCCCACTTCATAGATCTAAACTTACTCCCTGTTCAGAACATCCACACTTACTACTGTGCAATCTATATCTACAGGACCTTAAATTCCAATATTAACCTTGACCTAAAATGCTTTCTTGATAGTTGTGACAGGATCCACAGACATAACACCAGACACAAACATCTCTGTGTCATTCCCCGTGTTCGACTAAACCTTTACAAAGCTTCAATGTATTTCAAAGGACCTAAAATCTGGAACACCCTACCTGAAAACTCTAGAACTACAGACACATTCATTACTTTCAAAACTACAGTTAGAAAACATCTTATCTCCCTGATCCACCCCGACAACTAACTACATGATAACCACCTGGTGGTTCACAATTACACTCACTCACCGACTGACTATAACCCCAGAAATACGAATCTTAATCTTAAAATAATAAATCCTAACTAGTAATAAGTTTGCCTATGATACTCCAATATAGACACTTTGTATTGTGCCAAAACAAAAGCATTCACATTGCTAAACTCACAAATTATGATGTAGTCACTTAGCCTTAATACCATAATCTGTAAGGATTTAATGTTAAGAATTAATCTAAGTCTGCCCGAAATGCCTAGCCATGCTAGGTGTCCTAGTGGCCCCCTCTGCAATTAGTATTTTATAACATGTAAACCACACAATACCCAAAACCTGTAAACCCCACATTGTAACCCTTATAGAGAATAAACTTGAATTGAACTGAATTGAATGTAAAAATCTCATCCAGTTCCTCAGAGCTGGGGTGCGTGCCCAAGATACAGCAGGCATTTCCCCCACTGAACCGCAGAGCTAAGTCGCTGGAATGGAAAACTAGCTGTCCTGGGAGTCCTAATTACCCTGATGAATCTTTTACCTAGCTCCTTAAGGAACTTAGATGAACTCCTTTCTCACTTTCCAAGGGTCTCTGAGCCTGTGGGAACAAACATATAATGATGGGCAAATTCACCGTATTTTCTAGACTTTTGGGACTCCCTGAAACTGGCAGCTGCCCGTCCTTCCTCCCTGGTGTACTGGAGATAGGTATAAGCCAGTATGGACGCACAAGTGTAGTCCCACACCACCTGCTTGCAGTATGTGTACATCCTCCTGACAAAGAGCTGGAGATATAAAAGGTTTAGAGCAGCTACTTAAATCTTCCCCCTCCCTCACTACCTAACAAGAATTTCTTTGTTATTTCAGATTAAATCACTAGAGAATGAAATCAGTGACTTGTCGTCAGAGTTCCAGGAGGAGAGAACAGACTACTTGGAGACTATCCGTAAACAAGAACAACAACTGAAGCTACTTAATGGTATCCTTGAGAAGGTGAGACACAGTGTTGTAAGTCACTTATAACTCTCCAGAAGGTGAGACACAGTGTTGTAAGTCACTTATAACTCTCCAGAAGGTGAGACACAGTGTTGTAAGTCACTTATAACTCTCCAGAAGGTGAGACACAGTGTTGTAAGTCACTTCTATCTCTCCAGAAGGTGAGACACAGTACAATGTTATCTCACATGTGAGACTAGTCTCGTGGCCAGTGTTATTCTGTAATAACGAGGAGATACTTCTCAGCACTCGTGTGTTCCTCGCTACTGAAGATGTCATCAGTGGCGAAACGTTGCCTCAGTAAAGTCTAGTAACACTGACCATGAGTGTTCCGTCACAGTAGAGTTTCTCAGGGAAAAACCTCTTAAAACCCCACTTCATATCTTTCTTAGATGATAAGATCATCATCACAGAGGTTAATTACAACTTATCTAAGAAGTTTCACCCGTCTAAAAGGCTTTCTCAAGCAGGCGAAACATCTGAATATACTTCCTAGTCAATCACTTTCGTGGCCTTTTCGCTTATAACTCGTCTAAATTCACATACCATCTTCTGTTGCTACATATTTTGAACAAATCCACCATGCTCTCACTGAGGTAGGGTGACCTTAATGAAGGAAACACAGCGACCGTCACTCAGTCAGCAGCCGTCTTGCCTCAGGTATCTGGGCATCACACTTCGAGTGACTCACTGATCTGAACCCTGCCCTCCCCTGCCCACCATTGCCCTCCCCTGCCCACCCCTGCACTCCCATGCCCGCCCATGCCTACTAATGCCCTTCCCTGCTACAGTGTGTGGCACTCAGTGCCCCAGTAAATCAGGCAGAGATTTTAATGGCACAAGTTAGATTCCAAGCCTTCAGGATGGAAGACGGCAGTGAGAGGACGTCAGAGAGAAGACGTCAGCGAGAAGACGTCAGAGAGAAGACGTCAGAGAGAAGACATCAGAGAAAGGACGTCAGAAAGAAGACGTCAGAGAGAAGACATCAGAGAAAGAACGTCAGAAAGAAGACGTCAAAGAGAAGACGTCAGGCAGAGGACTGTAGAATGAAGACGTCAGATAGAGGACGCCAGAAAGAGGACAGTAGAGAGAGCGGACGTCAAAGACAGGACGTCAGAGAGAAGACGTCAAGCAGAGGAGGCAGACTGAAGACGTCAGATAGAGGACTTCAGAAAGAGGACAGCAGAGAGAGGACGTCAAAGACAGGACGTCAGAGAGAAGACGTCAGAGAGATGTCAGAGAGGAAACGTCAGAGAAAAGACACGAGATGTAAATTTAAATATCATAACTGTGACACAGCGTGTGGGCAGCCGGGGTATCTAACATGCCTTGAATCCACAGTAAGTGTTAGTACTCACAGTAAATGATGTTGGTACCCACAGTAAGTGCTGTTAGTACCCACAGTAAGTGTTGTTAGTACACACAGTAAGTGCTGTTAGTACCCAAAGTAAGTGTTGTTAGTACCCACAGCAAAGTGCTGTTAGTACCTTGGGTACTAACAGCACTTACTGGCACAGACTTTACTATCTTAAAAAAGCTAGCTAAAGTTAGCTTAAATTTATATAATTTACTTATTACTTGTTTTACTCACTTGCTTACTTATATCCTTACTTAACATAGTTACTTACTCGCACACTTACTCTCCGCCACAGGTACAGCCGACTATCAGGAGGGACTGTAATTACAGTAACGTGGAGGCTATCAAGAAGGACGCGGTGTGGGAGGAGGAGTACCAGAGATGGAGACTTCCTGATCTAGTCTTAGTTAAAACTAAACTTCCTCCTGCTGGTACGTGGTAACCTCTACCTGCTTCCTACCTCCCTTCCTCTCTCCCTTCCTCTTCCTACCTCCCTTCCTCACTCCCTTCCTCTCCCTACTTCCCTTCCTCACTCCCTCCCTCTCCCTACCTCCCTTCCTCACTCCCTTCCTCTCCCTACCTCCCTTCCTCACTCCCCCTCTCCCTATGTCCACCCTCACTCTTCCTATCTCCTCCCCATTTCCCTATCTCTTCTCTCCCTCTCCCTGTCTTCTATCTCCTCCTTCCCTTTCCTTATTTCCTCTCTCCCTCGCTCTCCCTATCTCCACTGTCCATCTCCCTATCTCCTCCCTCCATCTCTCTATCTCCTCCCTGCGTCCCCCTGTCTCCACCCACACTCTCTCTGTATCCACCCTCTCTCACCTGTCATGCATAGCTTAAATTCCTTTCAAATTTTATTAATTATAAATGAATCTAATTTGTATAAACCTAAACTAATATTCATATTAAAATCAGTTCCATATTTTTTGTGACTGATTCCATTACATTTCTGTCTACCATATACCTGCTTCACACAACTTGCTAGGCCTTTTTAAAGTCAATTGGGTGGTCAAAATCTCTCACATGAATAAACAGAGCATTAGATTCTTGTGTAGTTCTAATGCTATATTTATGTCGGTGTAATCTTAGTTCAAGACTTTTCCCAGTCTGACTGTAATAAACTTTACTGTATTTTTCTTACAAGGAATCTTGTAGATTTAGCTGTCAGGATTTTTTGGGGGGAATTTTTAATTTTTTTTTTTTTTAATGTAACAAGACTTTCAAATACAACTTTGAATTTATTATTCTTAAGTAGAGAAGATATATCAGGAAAGTTTTCATGGTAAGGAAGAACCAACATATTCTTGGTAGAATATGATTGTTTGTCCTTTATTGAATTGTAAAATATTTTTCTAGTAATTTCAAAGATTTTACAAATTAAGTATTTTGGGTATTTTAGATCATTAGCTATTTCATAAATATTCAAAGTTTCTCCAACTATGAACTCTGGGTTGTAAATACGCAAAGTTCTGATAAATATGGATAAGAATACAAAAAGTTTAACTGTGTCATGATGAGAAGAATAACAGTGCAAATATGAACAGTTATTTGATGGTTTTCTGAAAATTTTGAAATTATAATCATGGTTTCCCTTAATAATTAAGATATCTAAATAAGGCAAAGAATTATTTTGTTTAAACTCAACAGTAAAATTTATGGAGTGAGCGAGACTGTTTAATTCAACAAGGAAATGGCTTATATCTATATTCTTAGACATAAGACATAAAATATCTTCAACATGTCTGTACCACTAAGCTGTACTGGGCAGGATTTTGTTAAGCAATCTTGTTGAAAAATATTCCATGTACAAATTGCCATGTATAAACTTATAAATAATACAAAGTTTATTAAGTTCAGTGATCGTAGGTGCTGACAATGGTAAATCGTAATTACCGAGGACTTCATATAAAAAATTTAATAAATCATCAACTGGAACTTATGTAAACAAAGAAGTCACATCAAAACTAACCATATTATAGTTATTTATATCAGTCATGGTGTTTAATTTATCAAATAAATCAACATTATTTTCAACATTAAAGTTAGAAATTTTGCCAATAATTGGGCTCAACTTCTGTGTTAATTATTTAGATAATTTATAAGAGACTGAACCTATGGAGATAATTATGGGTATAGATGTATTACCTGGTGTGTGTTTTTATTAATTCATATGTCTGTGGTAAAAGATGGAATGGTGGTTATAAATTATATAATTAGTTTATGTTTGCCTTTCAAAAGTCGTTTTATTTTGTTAAAGTTACAGTTAACTGGATCTAAAATGTTCTACATTAATCATGACACATAAGCTTAAAATTAGACTTATTTAAAAAAAAAAAAACTGTCTGAAGGAATAAGTTTTGCCAAAATCTGTGTTGTCAAAAAGACATCTTGACATGATAGATCGTCCTTATGATGATGTCACGAGAATTATTCTTCAGAAATATATTGAAATTACTAAAATAGAAGAAAAGAGGCATTCAAAATATTGAGAAACAAAAAATATTCATTTAATCAAACTATTCCATCAGAATAGTTATAAAATATGTTAGATCATTGTTATAATAAACTCAGAAGAGTTTATAATAAACTTAAAAATAAATTAGAATGCAAATTAGGCAATTTAACAGTAATTGGACAAAACACACTAATAATAATTGTGTAATTAACTTATCAGATGAAACATTAGAAAAAAATACAACCATTGTATTACAACCCAGGAGTCCCAATGGCCTGTTATCCTGGGTGTAAAGGGAGCAAAATAAACACAGCAGAAAACTTTTGACTTACATTATCCTTCACCAATTTAGAACAGAAGTATGTACACTATATACACTATGTACAGTGATAGGTATTAGTGCACTCCACGGTAAGCAAGGCAGAATAGAAGCCACTAGAGAGCAGACCGTGCATCAACCAGCTCTAGAATGGGGATGACAAGGGCAGACAGGAGAGTGGTACCCACATAACCTGTGCGATTGCCAAAACCATCTTCTCATTGGCTTGAACCTGGGTACTGGTTGAACGACGGGGCCCCATCGTCAACCCTCAGTTACCTGGTTCGCTGGTTGCGGGAGATAACCTGTAAATGAGGGTGTGTACAGTCTTTAAAAGAGTCAGTAATGTGGAAATTGCAAAAATTTTTTTGTAATTTTGAAAAATCTATTGATTTATCCATTGATTAAGTTAATATAAGTAATGGGATGGTTTAATGGGATGGTTTAATGGGATGGTTTATAGTTCTATGATGAATCTAAATATTGCCAATTGTCTTCAAAGGTGTTTTAATTCTTATGAAAATCTTATTGATAATAATAAAAAAATTGCTTATTACTAAAGCAGACAAAATAAATGCAGCATTAATAAAATGAATAATCTCCTAGATGATACAGATTATCAATAATCTCCTAGATGATACAGATTATCAATAATCTCCTAGATGATACAGATTATCATAATCTCCTAGATGATACAGATTATCAATAATCTCCTAGATGATACAGATTATCAATAATCTCCTAGATGATACAGATTATCAATAATCTCCTAGATGATACAGATTATCAATAATCTCCTAGATGATATAGATTATCAATAATCTCCTAGATGATACAGATTATCAATAATCTCCTAGATGATACAGATTATCAATAATCTCCTAGATGATACAGATTATCAATAATCTCCTAGATGATACAGATTATCAATAATCTCCTAGATGATATAGATTATCAATAATCTCCTAGATGATACAGATTATCAATAATCTCCTAGATGATACAGATTATCAATAATCTCCTAGATGATATAGATTATCAATAATCTCCTAGATGATACAGATTATCAATAATCTCCTAGATGATACAGATTATCAATAATCTCCTAGATGATATAGATTATCAATAATCTCCTAGATACAGATTATCAATAATCTCCTAGATGATACAGATTATCAGTAATCTCCTAGATGATACAGATTATCAATAATCTCCTAGATGATACAGATTATCAATAATCTCCTAGATGATACAGATTATCAATAATCTCCTAGATGATACAGATTATCAATAATCTCCTAGATGATACAGATTATCAATAATCTCCTAGATGATACAGATTATCAATAATCTCCTAGATGATACAGATTATCAGTAATCTCCTAGATGATACAAGATTATCAATAATCTCCTAGATGATACAGATTATCAATAATCTCCTAGATGATACAGATTATCAATAATCTCCTAGATGATACAGATTATCAATAATCTCCTAGATGATACAGATTATCAGTAATCTCCTAGATGATACAGATTATCAATAATCTCCTAGATGATACAGATTATCAATAATCTCCTAGATGATATAGATTATCAATAATCTCCTAGATAATACAGATTATCAATAATCTCCTAGATAATACAGATTATCAATAATCTCCTAGATAATACAGATTATCATTTCAAACTTACAAATAATCCTTTTGATTCAGTTAATTGTAACTTTAACAAAACATTAAAACGACTACTGAAAGACAGAGATGAATTAATTCAAAAATTTATGACCGTCAATTCATCTCTAATATATATGTGTAGATTAATAAAAATAAAATCAGCCAGGTAATCCAGCCAAGACTGTTATTATCTCCATAGGTTCAGTCTCCTATAAATTATCTAAATGGCTAGTAGATATGTTGAGCCCAAATGTTGGAAAAATTTCTAACTTTAATATTGAAAATAATATTGATATATTTGATAAATGAAGCAGCGTGACTCGTTTATATAATAAGAGGATGGTTAGTTTGATATCACTTCTTCGTTTACAGAAGTTCCAGTTCATGATTTATTGAATTTCCTATCTGAAGAACTTGTTAAATACAATTTACCGTTACTAGTATCTATAATCATTGAACTTCTTAAACTTTGTATTGTCGATGGAAAGTTTTTATGACGAGTGTTACACTTAGAAGTTTGGTATGGCAATGGGAAATTATCTTTCACTTGTCCTTAGGAATATGTACATCGAATATTGCGAAACATGATTGCTTCAAAAAAATCCTTCCCAATAGAGCTAAGTGGTACAGATATTTTGATAATGTTGTATTCCTAATATCTAAGAATACAGAAATAAGCAATTTCCTTGTTGAATTAAATAATTTAGATCTTTCCATAAATTTTACTGTTATCTTTGAACAAAATAACTCATTGTCACTTTTAGGTGTCTTAATTATTAAACGAAATCATTACTATAAATTCAAAATATATATAAAAAAAAAAAAAAAAAAAACAGCAAATGATTATTCTTTTGGGCATTATTTTTTCACATCTTAATAGAGTTAAACTTTTGTATTCTCATCCATATTTTTGAGAACTTTGCATATTTGCAGCCCAGAATTCATAGATGAAGATTTAAGACATAGCTACTGATCTAAAAT